GTCTCTGCCTAGCCTGTCCCAGGATCTTGGTGTTGTCCCAGTCGAAGGACAAGGAGAACCACGACTTCGACTGGGACAACACCAAGATCCTGGGACAGGCTAGGCAGAGACAAGCACGAGAATTCCTGGAAGCATGGCACTCCATGAAGCATGCTATTAATAAACACATTGAACTCGACCCCGTATACATTCCACTACGGAGGAAACCCGGAAGTGAGGCAATCCTTCGCAACGGACCCCAGAGTTTAAAAACCAGGCGGGAAAACACACCGACGCTTCATCAGAGGCTGCACTGAGGATGTTACCAAGCACGGTAACAAAATGTCTGCGGAACAACAAACCAGCTCGGCGAGCCAACCAACCTCAACAGCCACAACCTGAGCTACAGATCTACTCCAAAACCTTAGAAACACTGGCATCTACACAGCAATGTGGAAAATTGCCCAGGTCTGTCCTATACACAAAAAGCAGGACAAATCCAACCAAGCGAATTATTACCCAGTGAAGTGATGGAAGGGATCATCAACAGTGCTATCAAGTGGCACTTGCTTAGCACAAACCTGCTCACTGACACTCAGTTTGGGTTCAGGCTACTTAGCTGTTGACCTCAGTACAGCCTTGATTAAAATAGGGTCAAAAGAGTCAAATTCCAGAGGTGAGGTGAAAGTGATTGACATTAGGGTTGCAGTTGACTGAATGTCATTAAAGAGCACTAGCAAAACTGGATTCAATGGGAATCGGAAGAATCTCTTCAGCAGCTGAAGTCATACCCAGTGCAAAGAAAAATGATTGTGGTTGCTGGAAGTCGGTCATCTCAGCTCCAGAATATGGCTGCAGGAGTTCTTCAGGGTAGTTTCCTTGACCCAACTATCTCCAGTTGCTTCATCAATGACCTTTCCTCATTATCATTGTCAGAAGCGGTGATGTTCACTGATCATTCATCACCGTTCCAATTCCTCAGGTGCAGAAGCAGTCCACATCCAAGTGCTGTAAGACTTGGACCATATTCAGGTTAAGGCTGACATGGTAAGTAACATTCATTACAAACAAGTGCCAGATAATAACCATCTCTAAGAGGGAATCTGACCTTCGCACTTGAAATTCAATGATATGATCATCGCTAAATGTCCCACTATCAATATCCTGTGGGGGTTACCATTGACCAGAAATTGAACCGAATAGCAATATAAATACAGTGGTTATAAGAGCAGGTCATAGGCTAGGAATCCAGCAGCAAGTAACTCACCTCCTGACTCCACAAAGCCTGTCCACCATTACAGCGCACTAGTCAGGAGGGTGGTGGAATACTGTCCACTTGTCTGGATAAGCACGGCTCCACCAGTACTTAGGAAACTTGACACCATCCAAGACAAAGCAGTCTGCTTGATTGACATCTCAAACATTAAGTTCTCCCACCACAATTGCTTAGAAACAGCAATGTGTACCAGCTACAAGATGGAATGCAGAAAATCATGAAGTCTCTTTTGACAGCTGCTTCCAACTTTGAAGAACAAGTGCAGCACATATATGGAACACCACCACCTGCAAATTACCCTCCAAACCAATCAGAATTGTGACTTTGAAGTATATTGCTGTTCCGTCAGTGTCGCAGTGTCAAAGTCCTGAAACATGCTTGCTAACAGAATTGTCAGAGCACATACTGCCAAATGGACTGCAGCTGTTAAGGAAGCCAGTTCACCAGCACTTTCTCAAGATAGCTAAGGACCGGAAATAAATTCTGGCCCGGTCTACCCCAATGACCTTTTACCTTTCTTGTTTACAAAGAACATATCTACCACTGCCTTAAAAATATTCAAGACCCCTCTGGATCTTATATTTCAATCAAGTCATCTCCTAACTCTTCTAAACTCCAATGGACAAAAGCCTAGCCTGTCTAACAGGTACGTGTTGTATCTACATACAATTTTTGGCAATTCATGAGCTAGAACACCTTGATTTTTCTCTGTATCACAGAGCTCTGCAATCTCTCACCATTTAGATCAGCTGTTTCTTTTTCATTCTTCCTACCAAAATAGAACATTGCACATTTTCTCACATTATATTCCACTTGTCTAATCTTTGCCAATCAATTAACTTATCTGGAACTTGCTGGAGAAATTCAGCAGCTGTGGCAGCATCTATGGAGAGAAATCTGAGTTAATATTTTGAGTCACTAGCTCAAGTCACTGGACTCGAAATGATGACTCTCTTTTCCGTCTACAGATGCCACCAGACCTGCCGAGTTTTCCAGCAATTTCTGTTTTTGTTTCAGATTTCCAGCATCTGAATTTCTTTGTCTTAATTATCTTTTTTTTTGTGCCGTCCTTAAGTCCTTTTCAGAACTCACTCTCCTCCAATCTTTGTTTCATAAAAACTTGATTGCTGGTTTTATTAAGATGGCTATTATGGAAATTTATCCCAATAGATCATGCCAAAGAGCACACAGAGGAAATTCTTGAGCTACGCAGATGAGAATACCGGCTGCATTCATATAAATCATGAACAGGGATGAAGTTTGTTGCTTGTGTTGATGTGAAAAAATTTTAGACCTTGTCAGCAGCATGCCTCTCACAAGAGACAAAAGGCATTAAGATAACAGCAATTGGTCCTGACAACAGAGGCTGGAAAGGATTTGTGAAACTGCTGACTCAGTCCTTTCATACACGTACGCGGAGGTTCCTGCCAATAGCATGGTTATCTCATGGAGAAGAGATTTTGTAAATCATTGGCAGAGGAAACACAATGTAGTTATCCACATGGCATTACAGGTGCATTTGCTTGTGCTACTAATTATCCCGCCTTCCCCTTCCTATCATCTATCATTTTTACAAAATGACAGAACATTTGATTCTTTAAAATAAATTGTGTTCACTAAATTGAAAGCCCTGGAATTCTCTTCCAAAATCTTTGACTCTCCAACTGTCTCCTCCTTTCAGACATTGTTCAGAACCTACATCTTTGATCCAGCATTTGATTCCCTGCCCTAAAATCTCTTTCGGTTTCTTTCACGTTCGGTCTCCTGTCAATTTACACTGTCTTGAGACATTTTATGCTAAAGTTAAAATTAACACATGCAGTTGTTTGTAGGTAGCACCTTTATTTCTTTGGGATGTCCTTATGTAATTCACAGTTAATGAATCACTTTTGCAGTGCAATTACAAATAAGTAAACACATTAATACTTTGCTAAGTGCAAATTCACAAATACCATATGACTAAACAAGTTTAGATGATCTTTGTTGATAGATAATCATGGCCCAGAAACTGGGATAACTGTTCTCTTTCAAATTGCTCCATTGTACACTTTTACATTTGCCTGACCAGCGAAATTAGACCATGGTTAAACATTGCAACAAAATCACTTCTGATAACACAGCTTTCAATATCTAAGCAAGTAATTCTTATTTCGAAGGGTAGAAGGCAAAAATCTATAGGAACTGTCCATTTCAGTAATTTATAACTGGTTGCTATTTTATGGACATTAGCTCACAAAACAGACTGTGTAAAGCACAAATTGAGACTAAAATCTGGTTGTAGCCTCAAACTCAGCAAGCAGAAAAGTACATCAGCAATTCTTCAGCTTAATTGCTGTTAAAGTAAACACTGGGAGAGGTCAGATTTTAAATGGTCTTCAGGGATTTAATTACTTTTTAAATAAAGTGTGATTAATTAAAGACATTCTTACTCATACGTAGACTCCAAATTACTGCCTCTGTTTCTCTACAGTTAGAAGATTATGTTTGTGGGGTTAGATTAAATGGCATGAGAGGACACTCATGGAGCATAAACATTAGCAAACGGGTTTGTGTTGTACATTCTATGCAATGTGACAAAGGTATTTACAGTGTGACAGTTCAGAAGTATTAAATGAGTCTCTTTAATTCATGTAAGGTAATATGCTTTAAAAGTGCAGGAATATTTTTAAATTTTATTCCAGAGATAACATTAGCATGGGCAGTATTTAGACATTTTCTAGTCAATCTGTTATTACATATGTCTGGAACAGATGGGACATGAACCTGGGCCTCCTAGCTCAGAGGAAGGAACACTACCACTGCACCACAATGACCACCTCTTTCTAATTTACCCTATTTTTCTAATCAGCCTATTCAGAGATATTATTACACACCTCTGCAGCAGTAGGATTTGAACCTGGGCCTACCGGTCCAGGGGTAGGTACTCTACCTCTGCATCACAAGAGGGCCCCATGGCCAACAGTTATTACCCATCCCTAAATATCTTGAACTGAGTGGCTTGCTAGGCCATTTCAAAGACCAATTAAGTGAAAACTACATTGTTGTGTGCATCTGGGATTCACATATATTCCAGACCAGATAAGCGTGGGAGGTTTCTGTCTATTAAGGACATTGGTGAATAAGGTATTCCTGACAATCTGATAGCTTCAGGATCACAATTATTGGCAATAGCTTTTTTTCAGAAATTGATTTATTAACTGAATTCATATCTCTCAGCTTCCATGGTGGGGTTTGACCTTATGTCTCTGACCATTATTCCAGGCCTCTGGATCACCATATCCAAGTTACTAAATTGGCAGCAAAACCAAAATGCTACGATTGGCATATATTAGGACAGGAAAAGGTGAATTCACCAATTCCAGCCTCCCAGCACAGAACTATGCTTGAACGTAGTGTCAAAGTACTCTTGATTGGCACTTCACAGCTGGATCAAAGGCTAAATTGAAAATTTCTGAATTCAGTGACAGGAAATTGGCAAATAAGAAGAAACAGAACTGGCAGGGAATCGGAAGGGGGCAGGATGTGTACGTTTAGATTGATACATATAAGGAGTAAAGGAAATTTACTGCAAATACAGTTGGATAAATATATTTTATTTACGGTCTGTAACGTTGTCTAGAACCTTGAGCGCTTCAGATTTCTTGAGCAGCTGGCTTGCTAGCATTCCACTGTCATCTGTAGAATCAGTTAATCCAGCAGCTATAAGCTTTTTTATACAATTGGTATGCTGGCCTGCACAGGCCATGTGCAAAGCTGTAAAATAAACATTTTGGGTTAATTTACTTGATTTTACAACCACAGGATATCCCAAAGTGCTTTCAGTCAGTGATGTACAGTACTGTTTTTTTGAATTGTAGTCACAGCTGTAAGGTAGGAAGCACATAATCAATCTGTGTACGATAAGTTCCCACAAACAATAATGACCAGACAAACTCTTTCCGTGATGTTAGGTTGAGGAATAAGAATTATCCAGGACATTGGGCAGAACTCTGCTGATCTTCTTCAAATAGTCCCATGGGATATTTTATGTTCCCGAAGACAAGAAATGGCATGTCAGTTTACCATCTTGTTCAAAAACAGAATCTCTGATAGCTCTGGCTGAGATATGTTGCTCTAGTCTCTGAAGTGATACTTGAACCCACAGCTTTCTAACTTAGAGGTGAGCCATGTATAATTGGAAGACGTATTTCACCAACCCCACACTTCAAGCGACAATTAAAAACAGAACTACTTTTGTTTCTAGCCACTTCCTTCATTTTTCTTCTGTTCATGCTTTTTTTTCTGTTCTTAGATTTTTTTCATTTTGCTTTTTAACTTTTGATTTTTCTCAAATGGTCATTTTACAATTCATGAGGCCTCCAGTCATTCTTTGCAAGAAGATAAATAACTAGTTTCTAGCCATTGTTTACGTTACTCTTAGACCAGTCATTATGGTACATTGGAGCACAGCCAGATGTCACTTTCGTCCCTGAGGGCTATGACTTTATCTCTGCTCAGTGGGAATAATTTTATCCCGCTCTCTGGTGAATCCAGTAATATCAGAACTCACCATTTGAAGAACTGAGGGAGAAACCATAATCAATAGTCTGTGGTATAATGCACTAGAACCAAAACACCTATCTCTTTACCTTCATACGTCAACCTTCTGCTTTCCCTTTAGTGAACATATCACTTATTGTTCATATGTCAAGCAAATAAGATGTTCCGTTTACTCTCACAAATGTGAAAGTGTAAATCACCCTGAGAAACATCAAAAGGAGGGGAGAGAAGCAACATTTGAGAATGTAATTTATTGTGGGGATAAATCAAAAGTATCACTGGATTTTTTTTAATAGAGGCAATAGTGAGTTAGGCCCATTCTACCTTATGGCCTAGTTACCTTAAGACCAAGGCTGTAGCTTTGGGTCGTTCTGGAAGCTTTTCTACTTCTTTAACTAACGAGTGATGAGCAGTGTGTCTGTTGCTGCAATAATATCCCTACTGTTCCATTTTGTTACTTGCTGCAACCAAAAATACTCCAACTCATTACAAAGGAGTATGATTGTGTTCTAGGGCTTTGTTGAAGTTGCACCCTGCTTTTGCATTGTTAAAGTGAGGGAAATCCAGGCTCCCTTTGATCTTCTCAGGTGTGAGGTAGATTTGCCTTTTTATCAGAGAATACCAGGTGAAATCTAGTGTTCATTCCATTCTCCTTTCATTTCTTTATTGGCAATTAGGATGACTTACATTATCATAAAAATTAATTTAGTGAAAGTGCTCCATTTGTAAAGTGGTACAAACAATAAAGCCATGTGGTGTCCTGTACGGCTTGGCCTTAACAATCGAGTGAGTTAGAATAAAGTACTTACCAGAGCGGCCTTTGAGATCCCTTGCCTGTATGTCAATTCCTAACATCAGCAGAGTCTCTATGGTGTTAGTATGTCCCTCCTTTAAGACAGTAAAACAAGCACAGGTTAGTATTTCACAAGCAAACAAAGTTACTAAGCTTTGTTTCTGCAAGTTGCTGTTAGTGCACAGGTCATAGTCTAAAAAGAGACGTCAATTGCTTTGATAAATTTTAAGTAATGTGTGTTATGTTGCTGTAACATTTAAATAAGTGAGACAGCCCTGTTGTGTGTATCTCCTGTCCTTAATTAATCATTAAGTGCTAATGCAGCCTGTGTAGTAACTGAATGCTTATGGTTTTCAAGATAGATGAATAATTATCAGCAGCGAGAGGTTCCACCACCATATCCTCCACTCTCATTACCCTCAAACCGTGAAATAACACCGTCAGACCTCTAACACATCCCTAGTAATGCACCAGGCACTAGTGTTCAGTTCCTATCCTAGAAATGTAAGCTATGAAGAGGACATAAGAACGGTACAAAGGTATATAAATAGCATACAGAAATGGACAAAGATCTGGCAAATGAAGTATAATGTGGGAAAATGTAAAATTGTCTGTTTGGCAGGAGGAATAAAAAGGAAGTATATTATCTAAACAATAACAGAGTGCAGAATTTCAAGATGGAGACAAATCTGAGTCCAAGTGTTTGAATTGCAAAAAATTAATACGCAAATACAGCAAGTATTTATGAAAGCTAATAGAGTATAATTAGAACATAGAACATTACAGCACAGTACAGGCCCTTCGGCCCTCGATGTTGCGCCGACCTATGAAACCAATCTGAAGCCCATCTAACCTAAACTATTCCATTATCATCCATATGTTTATCCAATGACCATTTAAATGCCCTTAAAGTGGGTGAGTCTACTATTTTTGCAGGCAGGGCATTCCACACCCTTACTACTCTCTGAGTAAAGAACCTACCTCTGACATCTGTCCTATATCTATCACCCCTCAACTTAAAGCTATGTCCCCTCGTGCTAGCCATCACCATCCGAGGAAAAAG